GTGGCTTAAATAACACAGTAATTCATCAACATTAAACACATACTTTCTCAGAAGTTTTAAGAAACAGACAACACGCATTACCTTTGATGGGTTAATCACAATATTTCTGGCCGAGCCGTGCTCGTCTCCCGTGAAGGCCGGCTGATTGCTGAAGCCCTGCTTTACATTCACAGCCGTCAGTTCATCCTGTTGGAAGAGAAGGCAGTGATTTAGCAGAAGGATGGGAAAGCTCCAACATAATCTAGCATATTGCAGCCTGTGTAATGGCTGCGAAACTCTGTAGAGCAGAACTGTTGAAAGAACAACAATCAAAAAAAAGCCGAGACTCGAGTTTAAAAATCAATATATACATGTGGGGAGAGGAAGGGACTGTGGCAAATGTGAACAACTGTTGGCTCGTGTCAGAGTGGGGAGCCTGCGGCCTTGGGCCACAAGTGGCCTTCTGGATCCTTCAGTGTGGCCTTCTGACCAAACCCAAGTTTTACAGAACACTCTGAGATAACACCTAACCCCAGTGAGAACAGCCCACATCACAAGGTCCCAAAGCTGCAGGTGCTGGCATGGGGACTGAGACAGGGGACACTTCAGCACTGCTGGTGGGACCGCAAACTATTATAGCCCTTTTGTGAAAAAGTATGGAGAATCTTCAAAGAGCTAAAAGGAGACCTATTTGATCCTGCAATCCCATTACTAGGTGTCTACACAAAAGGAAAGAAATTATTTTATCATAAGGATATTCACACTTGAATGTTTACGGCTGCTCAATTCACAATCACCAAAATGTGGCAACAACCCAAGGGTCCATCAACAAACAAATGGATTAATAAACTGAGGTATATGTGTACCATGGAATACAATTCAACCATAAAGAAGATGGGAGACTTTGCATTTTTTGTATTAACCTGGATGAAGGTGGAACCCATCCTCAAGAATGGAAAGACAAGCATCCCGTGTACTCAATACTGTGTTGGAACCAGTAGATCAACAACTATAGACCCACAGGAGAGAAAAATACAATTAAATTCAAGAAGGGGGTAGGCAAGGATGGGGGAACTTCTACTAAGTTCCTACCTAACAAGTGCAGTGGACAGGTATGTGGGACACTTCCTGACTGACCTTACAAATGCCAACAATGTCACCTAATCCTATGCACCCTCACATTAATAAAAAAGTTTTTATAGAAAAAAAATCCCTTTCAATAAAGGAATTTGTCCTATGATGTTTGGATTCAGGAAAGGGGCTGCACTTTGGAATCTCAAGGGCCACATGTGGCCACTGCTTCACTATTCTTTTAATTTTTCTATAAGTTTTGAAAAAAAATTATTTTTTGAGGCAGAGGCTCACTGTCACACCAGGTAGAGTGCTGTGGCATCATCATAGCTCACAGCAATCTCAAACTTCTGGCCTGGAGAGATGCCCTTGCCTCAGCCTTCTGAGTAGCTAGGACTACAGTCCCTGGCCACAATGCCTGGCTCGTTTTTATTGTTATTGTTGTTGTTGTTTTGTAGTAGAGATGAGGTGTCGCTCTTGCTTAGGCTGGTCTTGAACTCATATGAGCTCAGGCAATCCACCCACGTCAGCCTCTCAGAGTGCTGGGATTACAGGTGCAAGCCACCATGCCCAGACTAAATTTGAAAATTGTTAACTTAAACACTGGAAAAAGAAAAAAGTAAGCAAAACTTCCTCCACAAAAACACCAAATAATACAAGTTTTGAACTAGAATTGTTTCCAGAAGCACACAGTTGTGGACTCCCCCTTCCCTGCCAGTCCCCGTACACATTCTTATTTTATGTTCAAGAGAGCTGGCTCACCCCCTTTACCCATGACCCCCACGGTGAGTTACCGAGAAATGAAAGATTCCTGAGTAACCACACTACACGCCACATCCATCACCGGAGGAGAGTGTACAGCTTGCAATGTTCTTCCATACACTTGAGCTCCCTTGATCTTCACCAGCATACAGCAGACACATGTCTTCATGCCCATTTTACAGATGAGAAGATCATGGCCCACTAAGCTACTGCAGCTACTGGACGAAGCCAGACCAGAAATACTATCTTCCAAATCCCACACTGGGAAGAGAAATTTCCATGACACCACGCCACCAAAGAACAAATGCCACATGAAAATGTGGTCTAAAAATACACAGCTATAACTCCTACTCTCTTTAAAAAGATCTCCTACTGGATAGACATAGGAAAACATTTCCAAGGCCACATCAAAAATAACCTGAGGCTTAAAAGAAAAAAAAAAAAAAAAAGACCTCCTTGCCCTGCTCATATTATCATTCAGTTATGGAACTAAATCAGAGTTCCTAAAATACAGACTTGAATAAGAGGGAGACTTCTGAGTAAATGAAGCTACCTTCTGCTCCCCTTGCTCCAAGCCAAGAAATGATCTTAGTGATAGCTGAAGTAATGGTAGCCACAGCACAAGAATGATAATATACACTTATTCTTCTTAAGTAATTGCTGCCAGTGTAAAATGGGGAGCGGGGGGAGCAACTGATCAAAATCACTGCTGGATAAAGCCGTTTATGACATTTATGCACCTGCCCAAAGTCTAACAAGGTCACCTTGGCTGAAAACTGAGGTCTCCTGGAAACATGCCATGTAACTTTACTTAATTATGCGTGCTCTTAGTAATACCTTGGCAGGCCACTGTTTTGGCAGGCTTTCAAAAGACCCTACTACAGGAAATTTAGCTCTATGGCAATCAAGTCTCCTCCAAGCATAGAAGGTCACTGAAATCGTGAGCCGAGTCAAAAGATGAGTTGCACACACGTTTCAGAAGACATCTCAAAGTGCTTCAACAGTGTCACGTTAATATCAGAAAATCTAAGGCAAAATGCATATTTTAAGTCAGAAGAATCTCAGTCGAC